TAATAATTAAAAATAGAAATTTATAAAAAGTTTGTTTGAATTTAATGTCAAAGAAACGACATTACTTTCCAGTCCACCTAATATTTTAGATACACGAAAATATCTATTTGGTTTCATCCGGTCTTGCTCGTGAAAAACGAATGAAAAGTCCTTCTGGAATAATATATGCACGATTAACTTTTTCCTTCCGACGTGTATCCGACTGGAAAATTCCTTGGAAGTCGAGAACCAGCCTAAGGGTATTGCTGATTGCATCCAGGTTGATTACGCTCGATTCGAGCCTTATGTCACCGTTTCCTCGTCACTGGATCTCATTCTCCACTTCCGTTTCTTTTTGCTTTCACTCGCTCCAAACACGTTCATCCGTTGATCGTAGCCCTTGGCGAATTTTTCCATGTCCCAGTGTCGGGTTCCACAGGGCTCTATGGCTCGATAATCGAGGAGTCTTAATTGCAAACAGAATAACATTTGTCTGAAATAAAATAGCCATCGCGACACAAATGAGAGCCAAGAGTTAAGCCATGCCCATTTTTAAGAAGCAGGAAACTTGTCAATTCTAACAGATGGATTTGTATTGACGAAACAAACCCCGAGCTCTTTCCTGTTCGTCGTTAAACAACTTTTTCTAATTTGTTACAATCAGGACACGTGTCTGAGGCGTTATCCATACAAAATAAGTAGTAGAAATGATTTCTTTATAACATTTCTAACTAAATTATCGAAAATATGGCACCGAATGGGAGATGCTTTTTGAAATAATAAAATTGAAATAAAATAAAATAATTTCTTCGGTTGGTTTCAACGCTCTGTCACAAAAGAGCGTGGTTTGTTTCGACGAAACAAACCAGAGCGTATTCCTTCCTTTAATTTTTTAACGTTTCACGTCGAATGGACGCCGTCGGATCTGCGAGAACCGAAGGGTTAATTTTCGCAACAGGATTCGACGAAAACGAAGACGAAGCACGAAGGGAAAGGGTTCGTGCTTCGGGGTCCTTTCACTCGGCGAGCTACAGATGTGCGCGGAACGGGTAATAAAATACTGCAGTCTGATAAAATTTCCTGCCGGATGGCCTATGACGTAAATCTAAGCGAGCAGAGTGTATCGATCACCGAAACGTTCGTTCGTCGCCCTGAGAAACGTATCGAGCGGGTTGGCCGCCATGTTTCCGTCGAGTTCTTTTTAATTGCGTACAGAGATTGATAGCGCGCGGCCGAAGTGATTGTTTATCGGAATCTGTGACACTTCGTATCTATTGTCGCCATTGAGGATGGGTAGCGAACGATATCGATGTTCAAGGTCATCCGACGGTCATTGCGTTCGCTGCATAATGCAACGATTAGTAGGTTGGTGGCGTACGATGAGTCAACTAAATTGGAAAAATGGTACTCGTGGAAACATAGAATCGACAGGATTGCGTTACCAATATGTCGCTATAAATTGTTATTATTTTATGGCCGGCCATTGTATTATTATCGTTATCGGTATTAATTATCTTATTAATTTCATACATGTATATGCAAGGTACGTCAGGTCTAACCCACATATGTTGCTCCGCAATCCCAGCAATTAATTCGTCCAACTGCAGATAGTAGGACAAATCCATTTATTGCCCGCAACTCCCTTAGCTATACCATTGGTAAATTGGCCAATGTTCGATTCGTGCTAGCCTAGATATCAAACTGCATACTTTTCCTCGACAATCGAGCAACGATATTTCCCCAATATCCATTCCAGCCGGGGGATAACGTTCGTGTGACGCAAGAAATATTATCCAGAGGGTATTCCGATTTCTCAAATAACGTTAACAAGAAACGGGACCGAAACACAACGTACCCAGTCGTCTGGAAAATTATTTGTCAAGCTGGATGCGTCCCTGTCAACAGGAAACAATCTCTGCCGGTCGATCGAGGCCACATGAACGTCCATCGAGTTTTTTCTTTTTTTTTTTTTTGCACGATCGTATTTCAGCGAACCAGGCGACGCGTGGACTTGGGCATGTGCACTCGATCATGCGTGTGCGTGGCCACGGTGAAAGTTCGTCGAGTCATTGTGCAGACATTTCGCGGAAAGACAAGGACTTCCCTGTCCTCCCATTACGCAACAACGAGGACCAGTTTTTGGCAAGGTAGACACTCGCGTTGGCTCACGAAATCGAAAGCGAAAGGGGAACGATCCTCCTCCGATTCGACTCTGAAAAATTACCCCTTGACCCCGGTGGTCCTTAACCTTTTTGGGATGAGTTGCATAATTTCCGGATGTCGTATGATCAAGAATGTTGGCAGGAAAATGGCGCGGCCATCTATTTGTGTATCTACGAGTCTCCTACGACACCTGAAAGTTTTATAGTCAGATTTTTGGACGAGGACCGTGACAGACTAGATTTAACCTCGTTTCGTGTATTATCTATTAAGAATACGTAACTCTCATCTGTACTACTCCGTGTAAACCTCTCTTCAATATTTACACTCAGTCCCATGAATATTCCTACCCTCTATGTCTATCGAAGAAATTTGTTTAAATTAAGTGGTAGATTTGACGTTTCCAAGTGCATGTTTGCATAAACATGTTGATGTATATAGAACAAATATATACATGTATAATCTTATTCGTACATATATTTATATTTAAT